TTAGTGGGGTATACAAGTTAACACACCTTAATATAACTCAAACTCATACTTCAACTTTTCATAGAAAAGTTGAGTCCTATTCACGGACGTTTGACCAACTTAAACTTAATATATATCAAAACTGTTTCATATGCAAGTATTTTAGGTTTATACCTTTCTAATGACTACTTGCACACCTCCATACGATTTTTTCTACAATTTATGGTGAATTTTATAAAACTGCCTATCATTTCCGAAACGAATCGGATCAGTCTGTGAATATGAACATTTTCACATAAGTTAGACACTTCTAAAAATTATACTAAAAATCATGAATAAACTAGACACATTTCTAAACTCTCAAAGTTTTACGGATTCAGTTTTCGACTTGGTATGATTTTTCTATGATTTTTTTTCTAAAGCAGTATAGAAAGGTAAAAACTAGTTCAGCTTAAATTTACATAACACTTTGTAACATGTTGAGCAAGTGTTTGTCTTTGATGACTTTATAATTTACACATTTTTTCTATTAAGTTATGGTTAAATAACAGAAATTTTACTTCCTAAATTTTAAGAGTCCTTTCACATTTCAAACATACAAGATAAAACATAAGAAGCATAGTTATGCATTCTAAGCATGCTAACGTAAACTCGTTAACGTAAGTTGTGAGACAATTCTCCAAATGTACTCTTAGAGTACGGATTAAAATTCCTGCAAGTTATAACCAGAATCTCTCGTAGGGAGAGCGTGATAATTGTGTATAGATCTATATTGGGATTGACACCCAACACCTTGCTGCTAGCTATAGCGGGACCTGCAGGTCTACGGGTGACAAATGTCATAACAAATTTTAACGTCTGAAAAATGTTGTAACAGGTCATCCGGTTGTAGTATGGTTATAGCGACTCACATAGGGAGTTAACATCACTTAAAGTTTACAGGAGATACTACTTTAAAAAGGAAAACAGAAAGGAGTTTTATCTATTTAATTGTATTCTTCGTTTAAAATTACGAACACACACTCATGCATTTGGTCTTGGGGGAGTTAAGACTACATAATATTTGATAAGGAAAATATTGGATTTTTCTTGTATGCCTTCCATTATACAAATAAAGGTTTTTTCAACCACTTCACCCAAAAGCTTATGAACTCACAACTTAATTATTGACACTCTTTCAAAACTACTTGTATTCTCAGGAAACCCGTGAAACAGGTAATCAACTGCTTTTGAGGATGGGACACCAGACGTCACATTAAACATTTTTGTCATCATAATGTAATTGATTTTGAAACATGTAATCTCATACTATGGTGTAACTTTTTCAATTACATTTATGATGGTTGTATTTACTATGCGCACTATTATACTCGTTGTTGTGATATATACATGAAGTCCTCCACCCCTGACACGTTTCCGCCATCCTTGGTTGGGGGTGTGACACATTGGTTGTCTTTAATATGACTTACAGTGGCCAAGGACTCCCCTAACTGTGTAGTCAAATAGTTTCTCAAACGATTCATCAGGTAAGGTCACTCTTCATATGATCGTTGATTTAGGATTTGTGAGAATCGATTGGGCTGGGTAAAGGTAAATTGTCTTATGGATATTTACATCAGATTATATCTACTATAATAAATGAGACAATTTTGTCACATGTTAATCTCTAATGAATTTTGAACGTGTCATTTTGTGATATGTTTTAAATAAATAATATTCATATGTCAATTTATGGTTTTTTTTTTTTTAAAATTAAAAAGCCAAATAATACTTATACTTATATATGTAAACTATCAAATGTAATAAATATTAGACTAAATTGCAATTAATATGTTTTTATTTCAAAATTTTCATTCCTTATTTCAAAATTTATTTTTAAAAAATACTTATTATTTACATTTTAATATTTTATTTTTTATAACCCGTGTAATACACATGTTTTACATCTAGTGTGTGTGTGTGTATAATATATATATATATATATATATATATATATATATATATATATATATATTCCTGAGAATACAAGTAGTTTTGAAAGAGTGTCAACATTAAGTTGGTGAGTTCATAAGCTTTTGGGTGAAGTGTTGGAAAAACCTTATTTGTTAAAATGGAATGTCACACAAGAAAAATCCAATATTTTCCTTAACAAATATTATGTAGTCTTAACTCCCAAGCCAATGCATGAGTGTGTGTTCGTAATTTAACGAAGAATACAATTTTAAATAGATAAAACTCCTTCTGTTTTCCTTTTAAAGTAGTATCTCTGTAAACTTTAAGTGATGTTAACTCCCGTGAACAGGTATCAACTGCTTTTTGAGGATGGGACGCCAGACGTCAAATTAAACATTTTTGTCATCATAATGTAATTGATTTTGAAACATGTAATCTCATACTATGGTGTAATTTTTTAATTATATTTATGATGGTTGTATTACTATGCGCACTATTATACTCGTTGTTGTGATACTATACATGAAGTCCTCCACCCCTAAACGTTTTCGTCATCCTTGGTTTGGGGTGTGACACATTGGTTGTCTTTAATGGACTTACAGTGGCCAGGACTCCCCTAACTGTGTAATCAAACAGTTTCTCAAACGATTCATCAGGTAAGGTCACTCTTCCATATGATCGTTGATTTAGGATGTGTGAGAAGCGGTTGGGGCTGGGTAAATTGTCGAGTATTTATCAGCATCAGATCTACTAGAATAAATAAGACAATTTTGCCACATGTTAATCTCTAATGAATTTTGACATGTGTCATTTTGTGATATGTTTAAATAATAATATGCATATTGGCAATTTAGGGGTTTTTTTCAATTTTTCAAATTTAAAAGCAAAAAAAATAAGACTTATACTTATATATGTAAAACTATCAAATGTAAGAAATTTATACTAAATTGCCATTAATATGGTTCTTATTTCAAAATTTTCATTCCTTAGTTCAAAATTTTATTTTAAAAAATACTTATTATTTACATTTTAATATTTATGTTTTATAAACCGGTGATACACATCATGTTGTACATCTAGTGTATATATATATATATTATATATATATATATATATAGATATATATATATCTAATGGTTGTTTTTGGCAGGAATGTTATTATGATTTATTATCATTAAAATATTATGAGCTTGAAAACCTTATACATCTCACCAGGTTTCCCAAACCTGACCCACTCAATTTATATGTGACGGACTAAGGCCGGTGGAAACTAATTAGGATGCTGAGTGAAAAAGAGATGAGTCCGTAATAGTATTTCATGACATTTTAATATTTACTCTTACAAAGTATAACTCAAAGAACATGCTCAAGAACACAACTCATTCCCAACATCAACATTTCATTTATCATGAAACAGTTGGTTTTCATCATACAAATACAAACAAAAATCTCACTACCATCACACTCATATGCTCTGATGAATCAAGTAATCAAAGAGTAAACAATATCGAGTTTTACAGAAAACCCGAAGAAGAAACCCTCTCTTGAAGACGACGTTATACAATGAGAGAATATTACAACAAAATATCTAGAGTGTTAATGTAAATGAGCTTCATTTGAACATTAAATACCAGGGGCATATAATACCCATGGATAACCCATGAACCTGGGTCGGACTCTCAACCCGCGTGCATTTCTTCACCTGCAAAACTATATATATAGAAACAGCCCCTACAAAATATATAAACTTAACCAAATATACCCTTATTTGTCACAAAACAAGAAAATGATAAGTTTGTTAATATTAGAATACTTTCAACAGTTACGATGTAACCTATGTCGAATATGAATTATGACATCTTGGTATTTTAATGTTATGAAATAATATTTCGTTATCTCAAAAGTTTCAATTAACTGGGATTTTCCGCAACAAACAGACAACTCATTTTTAATGCATAAAGAAAAAAGTTTTAATTGGTTCTGAAATATTGGGAATGTCACAACGATAGTAGTGGTGGCGTTCGTGAGGTTCATGGTGTTTCCGGTGGCGAAAATGGTGGTTAAGATTGGGTTGATAGTGGTGGTGGTAATTGCTTGGATAATGGAGGTGTTAACAGGTGAACCGGTGAAGATGGCGGAAGTGGCGGTGGGGTGGGGGTTCCAGTGATGTTATTTGCAAGGACGGTAACAGGTGATGGTTGTGATAGGATATGTCGGAGGTTCTAGTTGTTACCTCACAATGGCGGCAGTTGGTTGACGTATTGGTGACGAGATTGGCGAGAGTAGCCATGTCTGTGGTGAGTTTGTCGAGTCGTGTGTTGGTGGCGGTGTGGTATGGTGGATGAGAGCTTGAAGTTGGTCTTGCATGGAGTGGGGTTCATCGGGTTTGTTTTCCTTTTTTGGAGGCCTGGTAAGGGAGATGAAAACACCAAATGATAGAGCCAAATTCAAAGGAACGCTCCTAAGAAAATAGATAGAGTTGGAACAATTTTCTTTTTACGTCATTTCTAATCTTGAAGGATGCATACAGTCAAGTAAATATGCATGCAGAACTAGAACAATATGGCAGGGAACTTTTGGAGTACGCAAGTAATCTTAAAAAACAAAGAAAACTACTTCAACTCAATGACCTATCTTCCTAGACTTCAGTCCAATAGCCTTGCAGGCTTGTGTTGTTCTGTTTGGATTATTGTATCACATTAGCATCACAATACATAATCTAAAGATGATCATTTTATCCCAGACAAACAGGGTAGATCTGTTTGTTGTAGCACCCTTAGTGGTGTCGCTTCTTTGTAGAGTTTGAAAATCGTATGTATTGGTAGTTTTTTTTTTCTAGTTTTCAGCCTTAGAAGTTAGAAAGGGCCTTTATTTAATTATCAAACAGTAAAAATGTACCACTTAGTCACTTTGTTGTTATTAGAGTGTATCTTCTATCTATTAAGGGTTAGAGCAATGTTGTCACGTTTCCTCTTGATAGCATACTTTCTATTGGATTCGTTTTGGATGCTTATGATAGAACATAATATAGGCTTAACAACTTTTATTAATCGAGTTATTAGGTAACAATTTCAAGGTTTCGAGTTCATAAAGGACACATGTTTACATCTTACATTTTACACAAGACATACAATTTGGATACCTATAAATAATGCATCACCACCTCTTCCAAATTACATCTCACATCTTACAAATTACATTACAACCATCAAAAAAAAAATAGTAGGCAGAAAGAACTAGAAAAAAAGAAAAATAAAATAAGAATTATAAAATTATTTGTATCCTTTTCCTCATTACAAACATCACGAAGATATCTCTCCTGATGTTTGTAGATTCTTCACATACAATTCTGCCTTAGAAGAGTCTAGAGATCCCTGAAATTATAAAATTATGACACTTTATTAGTTAAACTTAAACCTAAATAAATAGCTGATTTTTCCATAATTGGTCAAGAAGTGACACGCAATCATACTCTCACCCCAAAACAATAATAATAAATGATAAATTACGACATCCAAAAGTCAAATAAGGGGTGTAGCATTTTTTTCAATTTTGAGCCACATAATATACATGGACCCAAAAAAGCATTAAATACATAAAAAAATGTCAATAAGTCAATTTTTTTATATATTAAATTAGCTTTATTAAAAAAGTTAACTCACCTGTTCTTGAACAATTGTGTGAAGGGTTCTATGTACATCTCTAGCCATGCCTTTAGCATCACCACATACGTATAAATACGCTCCTTCGCAAAGCAAGTTCCAGATATCCGAAGCCTGTTGAAACAAAAATCTAACATTAACAAATAAAAAGGTAACAATAAAAATAAAATTTAAATATATTTAGTGGGGTCCTACACCTACCTTTTGGCTCATTTTGTGTTGCACGTATTCCGTAGTGGGGCCCTCACGCGAGGAAAGCAACAATAAGCTCGAGAGCGCACCGGTGTCAACGAAGTTGTTCAATTCATCCTCGTATAAAAATCCTAAAAGAAAAAGAAAATCATTTCAAATTTACTAAAACATATTAAATATAATTTTTTTTTAAACATACCACTTTGCGATTTCTGCATCCGAAGAATAAAACAGAGGATCCGAGGTCTACACCGGATTCCTTTAAAGATGATCGTTCTTGAAGGAAGCCTCGGAAAGGAGCAAGTCCAGTTCCTGGGCCAATCATGATAATAGAACTTTCGGGTTCGAAGGAAGTCTGAAATTTGATGTTCTAACAAATATAGGCGCCCCCAGCTACAATTTTGATTCGGTCAAAGGCACGCGTCTGAAAAATAAATCAAAAAGTTAATTAAAAACGTTGCTTTGTATTCGATGGCATTGATGTAATTATTAATTATTAATTAATAATATTAAATTAGTTACCTCATCCACGTGGAACAGACGCCTTTGTGGATTCTGCCTGCTGGTGTTTTCTCGTGAACTAATGCGCAAGTAACGTGAATTCTGTTTTGTGCAATTCTGAAGAAATAACGAAATGGATATAAATTATTAACTTAAATAAATAAATAAATAAAAGAAAAGTAGAAAAGTAATTTTTATTTACTTTGGAGAAGAAGAAATGGAGTAGTAACGAGGCTGTAAGCGAGGGGCAACAGCAGCAAAGAAGACACCGAGGGAAGGTTTAGCAGATGGGATGCTTCCATAACTTCAAGAAGACTTCTTTGGCTTGAAACTATCCACTGAGCATATTCATCCTGAATATAACAATAATTAAATTAAATTAATTTTTAATTTTTGATATTCAAAAAAATTAAATGTTTATTAGAAAAATAAGAAATCCGTACCTTGCCAGCTGGCGATGCGAGAAATTTTAATCGTTCCGCTTACTAGGATCAGAAGCATGAGCAGCCAAGCATCAAAGCAGACTGAAATAAATAAATAATTAATTAATTAAAATAAATAAATTTTTTTTAAAGGTTTTTCAGTTTCGGATTCGAAAATGTTAATTTTAATTACCTTTTTGGGGGAACTTAAAACATCTGCATAACGAGCTAATGCGTTTCTTAAAGTGCATGGAGAAAAGGAGGTGGCAAGGAGGCCCCACCAATTGGAGTTCCATCTTCTTTATCAGTGTGGATTGAGAAATAAGTGTCTTGTGGGTAAACCTAATAATTTAAATGGCTTCCTCCACCACTTCATTTAAATTCTCACAGTAGACACCAACATGATCCCCTGTCTCATATCTAAAAAAAACAAAATATAACTATCAACATCTAAAAGAAATCCATTAAAGTGTTATCAATCGTGTAAATAAGTAAGTAACTTACGTTAATCCAGTGTGAGAGATGTCAAATTCAAGATGAGTGCAAGATCGATCAGATTCAGGGGTATGAAGCTCCTTTTTAACAGCCACATTGGATCTTTAAAAAAAAGATTCAAGCCAATGATATTTCTTGATATGATGATATATGATATTGATATTGATATTGATATCTACCTGCATGGAGGTTGAGCATCATGAATTGAATGAACATTTGTATGAGTTAGATCTTCTGAATATGAGTCGTTTTTTCATGATATACAACACGATATTCTCAAACACAGCAGCAGTGTAAGGAGTTGCAACAGGAATCATCTTCATCGCGTAATATTTGATCCAATTCAGGCAAACTAATTCTTTCCTGTAAATTTTTTAAAAAAGTTACTGTAAATTCATCCAAAAGATTCAATTAGTAAGTTGAAACTAGATTAAAGAAAATTTAATACCATGCAGTGAAATCATCTTCATACATTGATCATCATCTCCTAAGCCAACAGGAACAAGGCGTTTTGCACCTGAAAAAAGTAATGAAAATATATTAGATTAAAAGAGAAATTTCACAAATTGTGGATAAATTTAGGGAATTGAACTCAACATACCCTGTTCTACAAGAGAGTCATCAACCACCTTTTGCAATCTATATAACATTAAGAAGAAATATGTAAGTATAATGGATTACATATTACATAACAAGAAGGAAAAGTTACATACTTATATGAATTATTACCTTGTTGAAATGCTCATATTGTCTGTTACCAAGGCCAAACACTCCATATTGAAGTTTATTAAGCCATTCTCTCTTTTGCATTCACCCTACATGATTAAAAAAAATAGTTTTAATACAAGTATTTATTTGGAGATTATCAATCTAGCATGTTGATTTAGTAATTAGTAGAAACAAAGCATTTACCTCTGTAAACCATTTATAAAATCTTGCAGGCATTATCTGTTGGCTCACCATCTCCATATCTAACACAATCATTTATCATATCATGATATCAGATTCAATTAGAAGGTAATTCACAAATTTGTAATACCTATTTATGGTTTTTGTGATTTTTAGAAGTGGGATATGAACACTTACGTAGCTAAAAAGAAAAAGGCGATAGACTCTTTCTTAAATCTCTCTTCATACTCTTCATCATCAGCAGCATAATCATCCTACAATTGATATAATTATTGGGCGTTCAACGTTCAATTAGCATTTCATGAATCAGATATTAAATATTTCTTATTCTAGAATCCGACACTTACAAATCAACTGCTTTAAAGAAGCCTTCTCGTATCGAACCTTTGGCTTCCTCTAAAAGTGCCTGTAAAAAAAATATAATGTTATAAAAATACAAAATTATGGTTGAAAATATGCAATTATGCAATTATGCATCAGTAAATAGTAATGGTTTTCACCTTAGCGAAACCTTCCGCCGTTCCAGTCTGTGTTCCGAAGAAAATCGTAACTTTCTTCTTGCCATCATCAAACTCTGGTTCCTTCTCTCTCTTCGGCACAACGATCTTCATAGGCTCCAATTCCTGAACTGGTTTCTTCGTAGACGATCTCCGCCACACCAAAACGACGAAGCATCCAATCAACACAGCAACCGACGTGTAAACAACGTCAGCAATCACGATTCTCCACCCAGCATCTTCAACGACGGCGGAATCGTCAATTCTCCCGATTCCGCCGATGCGTTCAATGCATCCATTACTTTTCCCATTAAAAACTGCAGACATGAATTCAAACGGCGACACTTTTACGGAATCCGATTGCATTGTTACAAAACCCCAAAATTGAACGATTAAACAACGATGAATTGATAGTTTCGAGACGTTGATTAGAGATAGAAAATCGAAATCGAAAATCGAAATGCAGAGAGGTTTGTTTGAGCCTTCTCTCTCTCTACACACTGAGAATTGGTAGGTGTAGTTGGGGGAATACATCTTGATTTAAGGGGTTTTTATGGGGGTAAGGTAACGAAAGTGGGAAGAAACAAGAATGCAACGCCTACCGAACCAGACTAGTCAAACACTAACACCGTTTAATTAAACCATTATTAGCTTCTATTTGCAATTTTGCATATACTAATTTTTAATAGCATTAAAATGATATATATGATGCAATTGTTAACATTTAGAAAATTTATCTTTATGGAAAAAAATTATTTTACTTTGTTTTCATTTTTCAATAAAATAGTTTTTCACTTAAAAAAAATATTAAGGGCCAAAGATACACAATTTGTAACCGAAAACTAGCTAATTCAACTATTACATTAGCTATATATTTTATCTATTTCAAGACTGTTGATTTTTGAAACCCTTTGCGCGAAAATTAAAAATAGACCCTTAAAAGTTCGAATTAGCAAAAGATAGAGACAAATTAGCGAAGAATTAACGACACAAGTGACAAAGTAATGACGAATTATGACAGATTAATGACAGAAGTCACAGAAGAAAATACAAATTAAAATTTTGTGCATCCCACGCCCCGCATATATTTAGGGTCGGTACTAATCTATTCAACAATGTATTGTTTTTATTAGTTTGTACAATAACGTTTTAGTATTTTTATACTAGTTTTCCATAAATTAATCACTTTATGTAACTGATTTAAATTATAAAAAATGTGGTTTCAAACCGCCTAAACAGTTAAATATATATAAAACCAACATATTTCGTGGGTCGTGGTAAAAGCTTCTTTCATACTAAAATCATTTTATTTTAAAATAATATTTTTCAACAATATAGTTAATATAACTGATATTTTATTTATAAAACTTTTTTTTGTCATGCATCATTTGAATATTGACATGTATCGGGATCGTATTGCCCCCATGTTTTGGGAGCCACTCTGTATGTTTGGGGCCGCGTGTGTGAATCGATGATGCTCCATTTTTTATGTTTCCGTGTTTCCTCACCTAAACTATGAAACAAAATAGAGAATTTAATTTTTGCAATTAAATGCTCACCCAACTTCATATTGTATTTTTTTTTTATTTTGTAAATCTCAAAGATTTCTGACAATAAGAAGGATCGATCAAAGTGTTACAAAACCTCACTCAAGAGTTATAAAAAACCAAATACCGAATGGTGTTAATAAAAGGCACCAAGAGATTTTGGTTTTTGTATGATTAGTAAATCTTGTGAACGATAAAAGTAAAAATATGTACAACTTTTAAAGTATAAAATCACCCAAATAAATGATTTATAGCATGGCATCACAAATATTTAGTAAGCTAATAGGCAAACATATAAACCACATACTAATTGAAATTCTAATAATAGTACTCTACAATCCGAATTATATTGTACAACTTCATAATAAACATGACAAATGATGGAAAAAAAATAAGTATAATGTAGAGTGCTTTAAGAAAATACCACAGCACACAACACCAACTTAAATATCACAATTTTAAATTTTTACTTGAATGATATATGGATGTAAAAATTTACAAAAGAACAGCAGAGGCGGTGGAGTTTGGCAAGACCCTTATAATAATACTTAATGTATTTACAAAACAATGTAGACTAGTAGACTATGAGCTTTCTATATTTATGACATCATTTGTTTTTTTTTAAATAACATAACATCCAACATTGCTCGTATAACCCTCCTAAGGTTATCCGTATCGCACACTAACCATTATAGTGGTGAGTGCCAACTCATCACCACATTCAACCACTAAAATGTTAGGATACCTACCACTATATCCTCTTATTTTTTTGTATTAAAATAAAAAAAATACATATTATAATTTATTAAAATGCAGAGAGAGGTAGAGAGATATAAAGAGACATGGAGAGAGAAAAAAACACATTGGATGTGATGGTTTGTCCTTCCCAAACAATTGACCATGATTTTCTCACCACTAGCCACCACTAAGGATATAGATGATGTTCACAATTATTGTATGTGGCCACATAGACCATTTATGTTTTCGTTATAAGCATACCAGGAGGCCTAAGATAAGGACCGACATAGGACAACATACATAGATATGCATATCGGTAACCAAATCATGAGGCCGTGGAGAAGTATGAGATGAACCCAAAAGATGGAGAAGGTGGGCCTAAAGAAAAAAAATTGACTAATATATATTTTAGTATTTTTCTAAACAATAATATCATATGCATCATTTTTAAATACTTTATAGATAATATATGTAGTTATGTAGATGATTTGACTAATTAAATCACTTTCGAACACCAACTTTCCAAAAAATAAAAATTAAAAAATTAAAACCATTTTTTCCAAAAATGATCATCGAGTCTGTAGAGGGCTTAGCAGTTATGCGGACATGGTATTGCCCTCTAATGACTCGCGTATATTTAATGGACTAGATTTTTAGATTTGAGCTTTTTAGTCAACAAAAGTTTTCTCAGCGAATTTATCTCTAAAGATCTAGTATGCAGAAGGCAATTACGAAGAACGAGTTTGTAAGATTCGAGCTGAACATTTGTAAACTCAATGTCATGTGATCTGTGAACTTAGTGTTGTATTCTGAACTCAAGTCGCGGAAAAGGTACCACAAACTCATGAAAAAATACCAAAAAAATATCCACATGTATTTGAATTGATGTCAAGACTGTAGAAGACATGTCGATTTTCGTAAAGGGCATGTCAAATGAGAGCCCCTCTACAAACTCAATGCTTATTTTTTTCTAAAATGGTTTTTGATTTTTTTGGAATGTTGGGTTTGAAAATAGTTGAGTTTGTCAAATTATAGCCGAGAATTAAGAAAAGAGGGAAAGGTCGCAAACTTTTAGCAAAATACTTTTAAATTAAGCATGGTGAAGAAACAATATGATGATCAAATTTAATGTGTGTGTGTGTTTTGGGGTGTGGCTGTAGTTATGAAATATAATGTTAAAAATATAATATAAATGTTTTATATAAGAAAGTTTCACTTATACCCTTACGGGTGTTTGGGTGGTCATTTTGAAGGTAAATATGGACTTTTACCTTAATTATTTGTTTTTTTAAATTAGATAAGTGTATAAAAATCAAACCCCACCTTATTTACATACGGACACATAAAAACATAAGTGGAATTATTATCACCAAATTTAATGGATTCTATAAATTGTGTATAAAATTACCTTTGTTTCGGAAATATAATCTTAAAAGGAATTCTTTTTCAAATCAAATAGTTATTTAGGATACAATTATATAAGATAGGATCATACATATATGGAGCAACTTGAGGGATTCATTGCCTCGGGACAGGAGACAAGGTTTGTAAACTTGTCAAGTATCTATATGGTATAAAACAAGCTCCAAAACAATGGCATCAAAAGTTTGATCAAGTCATGATGGAAAGTGATTTAGAATCAATGAGTGTGATAAGTGTATCTATGTGAAAAACACCACTCATGGTATGTCATCTTGTGTTTATAGGTTTATGATATGCTTATCATTGGTAAGTGATGACAAGATGAATAAGATCCACGAATGATATGTTGAAATGCAAATTCAACAAGAAGATATGGGTTTAGCGGAGCGGAGATGATTCGTGGGGGCCAGATCACAAGAACCCAGAATGGTTTGATTTTAAGTCAAACACACTATGTAGATCTGATTCTTGAAAAGTTGCTAAGGGAGGTACTAGCATAGCGGAACTCCAACTGACACTCGTCAACATCTACATAAAAATAGAGGTGATAGTGTTAATCAAGTGGAATATTCAAGAATTATTGGCAGTATGATGTATCTATGAGTTGTACCAAATCTGACTTAGCATATGTTTTGAGCAGACTAAGTAGATATACTAGTAACACCCAGTTTTAAACACTAGAAGAGTAGTACTAGGCTACTAAGGTATGTGAGATACACACCGAGAATATGGACTTGCACTATGGCAGACATCCATCAGTTATTGAAGGATACACTGATGCAAATTGGATATCTGACATAAAAGATTCCATATCTACAGTGGATATGTTTTTACACTTGGAGTGCTGCTATAGCTTGGAAATCGTCCAAGCAACAGTTATATCCAGATCTACGATGGAATCTGAATTTATCGCCTTAGATATTTGTGTTTGAAGAGGCGTAGTGGCTACGCCAATTTGTAGAGGACATTCTCGAATGGCCTAAGCCGATAATGACCATATGTATACATTGTGATAACCAATCAGCTATTGGTAGAGCTCAAAGTACAATGTATAATGGGAAATCAAGGCACATTAGACGTAGACTAAAACATACGACAACTAATCTCTATGGGGGGTTATCCAACGGTTGATTGGGTAAAGTCAATGGATAACAGTGCGGAGCCGCTTACAAAAGGCTTGAGTAGAGATGTGTTTCTAAGTCGTCAAGAGGAGGGACTAAAGCCCTTGAATGAATAAAATTCATACGAAGGAAAACTTACCCAGAAGACTAGAGACCCCAAGATCTGGGTTCAAAAGGACAACCTAGTTGTATGAGTGAAGTAGGTCATTGTGGGGGAGTCAACATTACTTCCTAGTCCCATTCCTATATGTAGTGACAA